ATGACAAGGCTATGGCAAAACTGATGTTCTTGAAGTCCATGTAAAGCAGTTATTAGCTTTTACTTGGTATTGTTCTTTGAATAAACTGTCTTTAAACTGAACATTAGTGCAAGATTAAGTAGCTAAATATACTCCTGCATGAGTCTCCAAATGGTAGGTTTCAAAGTCTGATCTACTGTTCAATATCAATTTCATGAGGAATGGAGGTTGTTCTGATGTTTCCCTTTACAATCTAAGTTTAAATTCAGCTGAATTTTAACAGTGGTTAAGTATTCTTAACTAATTTCTATTGGGTTCAGGATTGAAATCCATGTTCAACATGAATTGGCAATCAGATTCAGCAAAGTTAGGAAGTTTTATTTTTAAAGGATTTTAAAGCCACTACATAAGTGCAGTGTGATGAACTATCTATAGTTTCAGAACTCAGCGTGTTGCAGCATGAGAATACAAAGAGTTTTAATCAATTTCTAGTTCTGATACATTGACAATGCATTTTCAATGCTTTCAAATTGTTTAGTTTCTCTGTATTAAATCGCTGATCTCATATAAACTACCCTTCATAAAAGTAAATTTGAAAACAAACAACATAAACACATAATATTGAATGTGTCAAACTTGGAAGTGTGCATTTTCCCCAGAACTCTCAACGCCTATGTATTCTGCTAATGTTTGCCTGGAGGTTTTCCATTAAGTATGCTTGCATTAATGTTCACATTACTTAAGTACATCATAACCTATTCCTTGGAAATTGTCTCTGTTACATGTTACAGTGAAATGTAATGGTAACAGATTGCCAGGTAGTGATTTATGTTCTAGTTTAATAAATCCCAAAATGCTAAAATCCAAGGTTGATTTGTGAGCAGATGTGTTTTATAAGAGCCTGTCTTACATCATCAGTGTGTGTATGTTTCTGTAATGGGCATAGAATCCCTACAGTGTGGAAACAGGCCATTCGGCCCAACAAGTCCACACCGACCCTCCAAAGGGCATCCCAACCAGACACATTCCCCATGTCTAACTCACAGAACCTAAACATCTCTGGGCACTGTGGGCTTTTTAGCATGACCAATCCATCAACCCTGCGCATCTTTGGACTGTGAGAGGAAATCAGTGCATCCGGAGGAAACCCACGCAGAAACGGGGAGAATGTGCAAACTCCACACAGACAGTCACCCGAGGGTGGAATTGAACCCAGCTCCCTGGTGCCATGTGGCAGCAGTGCTAACCACTGAGCCACCAATTCCACCAACCCATTTGTTATTTCCTTTTCTAGCGTTTGTTTTTGTCCTTGCTGCCTTCTTCTCTGACTCTTTACATAGGTTCCCATCCTGCTGGCATATTAGTTTAAACGCCCCCCAACTGCTCTAGCAAACACTCCTCCTAGGACATTGTCCCCAGTCCCAATGTAACCCGTCCAATTTGTACACGCCCCACATCCCCGAGAACCATACAAAGTGAAAATATATAATCTTTTGCAAAGAAACTATTTCATTCAGGGAATTTTGTTGAGCAATAAATCTTAGACCTCTTGGCCATTGAGTTTATAAAAAGCTGTATGCTGTTATATTTTTTCGTCTTTAGTGAGCTGAATAATGTTGGCTAGAATGGTAGTATGACGTCACAATTGATTTTTATGTTATTCAGTCTAGGAGGCAAAATCAATCAAAATTATTGCTTTCAGTCAACACCCTTTTGGAAGGTAAATGTGGCTGGATGTTGGGCGAAGACAGAATTTGATTCTTTTACCCTCTGCCATGCTTAAATACCTAGGAGCCATTCAGTCAAAAGATGGCTTACTGAGTGAACTAATAAAGGATTGCCAGCACTGGAAAATCTGAGCTAAACCAATTCTGGAAATGATAGACAAAGCTATGAGAACATTAAATGCAAAAAAGTAGTTTGTATGGTTTGGAAACTTAAAATTGTGTGACACAGGATGGCTGCACTAATATTTTTTATTAGCAGAATCATAGTCAACAAAACTACTGTGGATGAAATTAGTCTAGCCCAGCAAAACAAGATGGGCTGTTAGAGAATTGGCAGCCAATTCATCACCACAGGAATTTTTATTTAAGATTGATTTATAAAAAATTGACATGAATTTAAATTTCAAACTGAGTAAAAGTGACAATGAGATTGGAAAATACGTATTCAAAAAGATTTTGGACTGTTACTCTATGAATTTCAATACAAAGAAGATTGAGCACAAGGAAGCAATTGACCTACAATTTGCGAAGAATCCATGTTAAGTTGATGACAAAGAACAATTCAACCCATATAGTTTCACAATGCTCTATATATCTTTTGTTATTCCATAGAACAACATTGTAAAATAACACACAAGTGCATATTATCAACAAGAACAATAATAAGATATAAACCTTGTTTCATTCAACATTAAAAGTAGTGATTGTAGGGAACATCAATAAAGGATCTTTTCAAACAATTTCAGCTTCCGTTGAAAACCTAGTAAGCAGATTTTTGAGCTTCTGACCAGAAATAAATAAGTTCAATTGTTGTTTGGAATAAAACCTGTTTTGGTGCAGTTATTAAATCTTTGTTTTACCTATTCTCACCCAATTGTTAACAGGAGTAATAGAAAAGCAATTGTTATTCATCTGGTTATTTGTGGGCGAAAAGTGGGCAGGTATTTTTAAACTGCCAATCAATTAGATAGAATCCTCAACTCTTATTTTCTGTCTTGTTCTATATTCCTTGACACCCTTATCAAGCAAAGACCTGACTAACTCAGTCTTGAAAGCACAAATTATCCCGTTAATCACTTTTTAGAAGAGAGCTCCTGATTTCTGATATAATATTGTATTAAAGAAAATGCTTCCTGATTTTTTTCTTGATTGGCTTTAATTTTAAGGTTTTTGTCCAGATATTCCAATCAAGGTGAAATAGCATTGCGCACCACTGACTCCAAAGGAAAATGCCACAATGATCTAGCAAGCCCTGTGGCATAGAATTTCCTCACCTTTTTACAGATCAGGGAAATCTCCAGGTATCTTGAATCAGTTATGTTATCAAGCAGATTGAAGTATTTTCATGCACAGTAAACTGGGAATTAAATGAACTGAATGCCCTTTCATGTTTAATATCAGTAAATATTTGGGACGAACACATTGATTTTAAGACAGAAACAGAAACTACATAAGCATGTTTATAAAAAAATGTAAGCTTAAAAATGAAAAACTAATTCAATAAAGCAGAGAAACAAATTAGCAAGTTAGGTTTTCTAAGCCATTGAAGTTGTTCAGCAGGAATTATAAACCTTGTGCGCTGTTGAAAACCCCTGTTACACCATTTTCAACAAAGCGTAACCTTTTCATGGGATTTTACATTGAGGCCATTAGGGGAAAAAGGCAAGTTATTGTCTGATCAGTTATTTTATGTTGATTACAGTCTCTGGGGATTTCAATGGCAAGAGTAGAATCACTGACAACACAATCTGCATTTTCACATCTAACTGTACATGTGCAAACTCCAGAAGCCATTAATTTCAAAGGCATGATAATAGAGAATGCTGCCAGTTTGTCTACATTACTATGTCAATGCCTAGGCCAATAAAACCTCGTACTGGATTTTTCCACAGAAAAAATGGTTTTCCTTATCTATCCTATCAAACGTTTTTAATATTTTAAACGTCTTGATTAGATTATCCTTCAATATCAAATGCACATGGGAATTGGAGTTAGGTTTATGCAACCTTTCACGATATTTTGGATCGCAATTTATACCTGTCAACTAACTTTAATGATTCTGTACTAGGCCTCTCACATCTCCTGGTCTCTCACTATGAGTAACATAATCTCACTTGTCAGATCCACTTTTGCCCACAATACACTCTATTTGCCACGGTTTTATCTACTCATTTAATCCACTTATGTTTAATTCCAACTTTTTGGATCCATGAACAATACTCAAATTCCAATGAATCTAGTACCAACTCAAATATGTATATGTTTTTCTCTATTTCTTCATTCAAATCATTAATAAATAGTGAGAAGCTGACTTATCACAGTCCACCAATCAGCGCGCCTAACTTTCCATCTCTGACCTTCTAACCAATTTTGAACCCAAGTTATTCTCATTTTTGCAAATAAATATAAGTGATTTGCTAGCTCAGATGTATGAACAACAAAGTGCTCATCTCACAATGGCATAATTGTAACTTGTTTTGGGATATGATCTGTCTATGGTGGGTTTATAAATTTTGGCAACTCCTTCTTGAAAAACTATGAAAAGAACAGGAAAATCAAATATTACATTCCAAGAGAAATTGATTTGGTGTCCTTTATTCTGCTTTAACTGCAGCTTAAATTGCCTGATTGATTTAGGACATTACTAAGGAGGCTCCTTGTTGCTGTGACTGAATTTAATTGCACTACATTAATTCCACAAGCTATGTTCGAATTGCCACCAACATCTCAATCACTCCACAGCAGGAAAACTGTCCCAAAGTGTCAGCTCTTCGATTCTCAGTGGATAACTTCAATGACTCAATCTGACTTTTGACTAATTGAGAAAGTGGCTTATTTTTAATTACATTAATTAACTACAGTGAATGTGATTGAAAGGTCTGAAAAATGTTTATTGAACTTCAAATATTTGAAAAAAGGGCTACACTGTCACAAAATTTACTGAAGTCTTATTGCAATTTTTCACAAGCTATAAAATTATGGTTATAAAAACATTCAAGCTGATATGGTCATATTAGAAGGATTATCCTGCATGAATTTAGACCTAACTCTACCTTTTAGTTTCTTCAATTACAGTTGTCTAGCTATGTTATTCACTGTTGTGTCTATAAATTAATTAAATTATCCAACACATTTTCAAATGAATTTTAGTGAACCGCTGTAATTTTTTTACACAGTTAAGTTTAAAATTTAATGTAAATTCATATCAATCTGCACTTTTGTGTTGGTTAAGTAAAAGTTATAAATTGGATTACTTTAAGATATTCTAAGTAAAAATGTAATTCTTTATCCTACCATCCTTGCGATAGAATATGACATCCACTTTCCTCTCTTCTGAGCCAAGCAGGGCTTGGGCAATCTGGGCAATTGCATGTCGCTTGCTTTCTGGACCATGCAGGAAATCACAGGTACAAGGCTTCTGCATAACATCCGGCCTCGAGAATCCAGTCATCTCACAAAAACCATCATTGCAGTAGATAATTGCACAATTCTGTACCCTTGCATTGGCAATGATGAATTTTCTGTCTGTAAAGAAATTGAAAGATAATGATGGATAATGCAAAACACCAGTCTGTTCTTGCAAATCATGGTTAATGACTAGCTAGTTGTGATAACTAACCACTACTGTTTGTATAGACAATCTATTAGGTTTTTTTTACATGATAATAAAAACAATTCCAAAATTGTTGAAGTATGAAAAAATTGCTCAAACACAAAACATACAGTATCTTTATGCCTATTTAACATTTATATTCAAGTGTTCTATCAAACAATCTTTTAGTAATACAAACTTGAGTATTGCATTAAACTTATAAATTAAGCTACTTGCACAGAGGAGTTCAATTTTAACAACATCATGTATGCCCAAATAGATGGTGTTGCCATGATATCTCGCTAGTCCCAAATCTCATAAACACGTTGCTTGGATTCCACAAGAAATGTGCCTTCAATGGAATTTTGCTTATCCTCCGATCACATGCATACTTCCAATACACAGATGATACGTTTGGTATATGTTAATCTGCAGCTGCATGTAAGATTTTCTCTACAAGTCATAATGGACTCCATTCTGCAGTCAAATTCATCTTTGAAATGGAATCATTGACCTCCCTTTAGTTGATGTCCTAGTTCACAATTCAGCCAGGACTTCTCTACTTTTGTCAATATTCACTAATTGCTATACATGTTGGGATACTTACAGTTTCATGCTATATGATTAGCCTTATCAGCAACCTCATTATTAGGGCTCAAACCAGTTATTCACCATGCAAGCTTCACACAAAATGGGGCATATCAAAGACATCCTGCAGTATAATGGCTACCCTAATCAGATAATTTCTCAGCCTACATTGCACAAACTCATTAACAAACCTAAGGCTGTCACTTTTAATCCTGAAAAGTATTCAGTCGACCTCAGATTATCCTAAGTTATCGCAAAGGTTTGAGAAACAGGTGAAGCTAGCTCCTCCAAGCTATATAAATGCAGAAGCAGTACAAGTGATGTTTGCCACCAACAGGATGCTGCTGTTAAGGCAAAGTGATGTTCTGCCTATCACACTAATGAATAATGTGGTATATGAATTTCAGATATGTAGGCCATACATTCCAAAGACTTGCAGATTGTATCATGCATAACATCTCTTTAGTTGTTTGCAACAAGTAAGGTACTGACCATATTCAACCAATGGATCCTTGTAAAGCTCACAACACACAGTGATATGTTTGATTTTGCTTTTGGTCAACATTTTCTGGCTAAACCTGAGTGTGCAAAAGAATTGTACTGATAACAATTTAGGATTGACAGTTAGGCTCACAATGTGGTGCACTTGCGGGTATTGGAATCTACATGTGTTAATGCATAGGGCCCACATGTTTGCATTCAGAAAGAATATGTGCTCATTTCAACTCAACAAAATATGAACAGCCACTTACTGGTTCTTTTCACATAGCAGTGCCTTGATCAATCAGAGTCAAGCATTCTGGTTTAAAATTTAAGCAAAATGTGGCAGTTAGCTGTCGATCATCATTTTCCGTGGCAATACCTCTGCCAAACAAGAAGCATTCTGCTCTCATAAAGTATAAACTGCTGGTTTTGTCTTCAAATTATTGCTCTTGCATACTGTTGTGGTGAATGCAGAATGCAAATCTTTGAGAAAACGTGTCTTTTTCAGCAAAATTTTATGCCAGCAATGATAAAAATATAATGATTTGATAATCACTAGGATCCACTGTAATTCCACAAGTATAGGGCTACGTTAAAACAGCATTATTGTATTGAAGACTGTAACTAGAAATTTCCCTGAACAACATCCTGCAAATTTATTTTTGCCAATTCTTTTCTCCTGCTCAAAAAAGTGTGAGATGACAAATCAGGGAAAACTACTATGTTTTGTGTATATATTAATTACATGTGAAGAAAGGGAATTTCACGGAATATGTCCTTCTATATCAGTGCTGCTTAGACCTGTATACAAGTCTTAAATTGCATTTCAGAATTAAACCAATGCAATCAGAACAAATGCTAAATGAGATTAAAACTCTAAAACAATTTGAACTTGTCTTGGTTAGGTGCATTCTCAGAGGTAAATAATTTTCTTGAAATCTTTTCAAACTCAGTTGTACCTTTCCTAGTGCGAAACATAAAACTCATATTCCTCTGTACATTTCTATGTACATGATGGTTTCAGTGTATTGCCAAAAGTTTCCAAGTTTTTAATTTATATTTTAGAGGCACATTAAAAAAAAATATGTTGTCAGTGATAAAACGTTATCTTTTTCATAAATGCCTGGAGCTTAACGCTGTTAGAAAGATCCATAGGTGTCTCATCAGATTGGGCTAGAGTTCTAAAAATGAACCTGAATATTAACTGTGAGATATCATTATCAATTGAATTGTCCATTCCTTCATTGCCATTTCTGCTGTTGCAATACTAACAAGAATCAGACACAAGCATGGGTATGAGTTCAATATCAATTGTCTTATAAAAGAGGATACATTACTATAACAGGGCACACGTATTTATCTTTCAGTCTGCATGAGAAAATTTTTTGTTACATCTGGGAGGGAAAATTTAACCCTGACCTCTGCTGCTTTCACTGGAAGCTACAGGCATATACCTGAACAGTCTTGATGGGAATATAATCTCTGGCTATCATAGTTGGACAACAACATAGCTGATCCCTGGTAGCTTCAATCTGAGAATTGGAAGTGTAGCCATTATCTATGCTTCCTTGTTGGAGGAGGAAAATGATTGCTTTGGCCACTAGTGGTTTAACTAAAGGAAAAAAATACAGTTGTGGACATGATCATCAGTTGTTCTATGTCAGAAAGTTATAGACTTGAAAACATAATCTAAACTAGCACTAGAATATAGTGCTATGCTGTTGGAAGCACCACCTTTTGGGTGAAAATAAACTTAAACCTGCTTGATGAAGTGAAGGAAAAGAGTCCCATGGTATTATGTGAAAAACAACAAAGAAGTTCTACTGGTATGCTGGAAAATAATTATATATTTCTCAACAACAAAAATAGGTTAAGTGACCATTCATATCAAAACTGTTTAGTGGATCATGCTGCATGTGATTTGACTTCTGTATCTGGCTATACAATAACAGTAGCATTAAAATAATTAATTCATTAATTGCAAATATCCTCTTGTCTTTCGAACATTGCAGGGACATAATAAATGCTATTCAAATAAGGGTTTGACTTATCTAGCTTTGTAGAATATATATCTATGATGTGTAGTACAATGTTGTAAAAGTATCTTGCCATTGGTAGTAAGGTTGGAGAGGATGTAGTCCTGTTCCACGGCAGACTATGTGTGATTGGAGAATATGTTTATGTTCCAGTTGTCCTATTGAGGTCACTGCTACAGCTTTGATCCTCAACATCAGTTGCTGAGTCCATGAATTCCTATTTTTCATACTATTGAGACATGACTATGTATCTGCAGTAGGACATTTCTACTTTACATACCATGGACATAATGACCTCTCACACTCTGCTTGATTTTTTTTTCAGGGGCAGCACGGTGACTCAGTGGTTAGCACTGCTGCCTCACAGCATTCGATTCTATCCTCAGGTGACTGTCTGTGTGGAGTTTGCACATTCTCCCCATGGCTGCGTGGGTTTCCGCTTGGTGATCCGGTTTCCTCGCACCGTCCAAAGATGTGTAAGCTGGGTGGATTGGCCATGTAAATTGTCCATAGTGTTCAGGGATGTGTAAGTTAGGTGGATTAGCCATGGGAAATGAAGGGTTACAGGGAATGGGTAGGGTGTTAGGTCTAGGTGTGATGTTCTCCAGAGGGTCAGTGTGGACTTGTTGGGCTGAATAGCCTGTTTCCACATAATAAGGATTCAATGGTTCTATGATACTAAAAAGGCAGCGGAAACATTCAATATCAGTTCAACTGAAATTCATAGCTTTACCTGACTGTTTCAGACTTAGCACTCCTGCAAGGCTTACATTCACAGGCTCAGAATCCCAATTATGATTGTAGGTACCAGTGCTTGTTAGTGGTTTGGAGGCTGTCACAGAACTTTAGTAAATTACTAGAATGACTCAGGAACCTCAGCATAGTTTTTATCACCAAGCAGACGCCCTCTAGCTTTATGTGGTGGCTGAAAGATTGCCGGAACAGCAAATTTATACAAAATGAATACAACATGGCAGTGGTCAAGCTAGCAGGAGTTCACCAGCACAATAATACTGGGATGTTCATATGCCAACTACACATTGAGTGAGTTGTACTCTTTGTGGTTTCAGCACATCCCGTCATCAAAATACAATGCAGGCAAAGTTATGTCTATAAAATAAATGGCACACTGTCATAATGGGAAGCCTGAAATCTTGGCAAAGCCAGAACGAGAGGCCAGAGTTTAGAGGAAAGACAATGAAGTCACTTTTCCTGACACAAAGATGTCTATGACACAGTGATGGGTGCTGAAATTGAAGGATGTTTGCTGAGTCACATGTTCCAGTTTGGAAGGATACACTGACAAAAAAAAAATTTCAGAGCCACAACTTCCCAGCTGCTGGCTGTGGTATTCTCACCCTGCTCTGTGGCTCAAGAGGTGGCACAGTTCTTGGTAAAGCACAGATGTGGAACCTGTGACTTCAGGCTTAGTTACAATGCGGAGGTGTGCTGCCTGAAGTCTTTAGGCAGATAAGCCCCTCTTCCTCCTCCTCTGTGAGCAGCTCATCTTAGTCAATGCCCCTGCTCCATCTCCCTCTGATGCTGAAACTCAAGGCCCATTGCAACTCTAGCTTCATAACTGCAAGCAAAACATTTACTTCGCAACCCTGCTGTAGGAACAAATTCCTTTCCAACATTCAAAACAACTCCCTACAGAATTTTCTAACTTTTCTGAATTCCTCCAAACAGCCTGTACTTCTAAAATTTCTGCAAGAGACAGTAGAAAATAATAAGAAAAAGCCAACAAGTTGGATAGTGATGTTTTTAAATAGAACAGTGCCTTATTCTACTAGATCAGTTATAAATTTTAAATCTGCAATAGATAAATTTTTATTAAGCAAAGGTGTAAAGGGATATGGGCCAAAGGCAGATATAGGAATTAGACTACAGATCAACCATGGTCCCATTGGGTGGTAGAACAGACTTGAGGGGCAGAATACATAGAAAGGAAATTAGTGAAGGTGATGCAGTAAGCAGCCATCAAATCAGTGTTAGAAATACCTGGCTTCATCTTCCTAATCTGCACACTTCTGGTACACCTACGCTACACTATGTGAATGTCTCCAACAAAATTGTGTTCAGCACGGTTTGCAGTAAAAGTGAGTGAGAGTGAAATGGAGTCCTGTTTTCCCATAAACTACCACCCTTGACACTGAAACTGTAGGTACGGAGGAGCATATTTTCTTAAATATATGACTATTGAAGTTTTGACAGATTCCATGTTTGTCAATGACAGGATATATCCAAATTTTGTTTTGGATCTTTCTCTTTCTGATCATGTTGCAATCTGCCCTTAAGTTTAAATGTTGCGGTGATGCACATTGCAGCTGTATGTGTTCAACAATTTGATTGACTGTGCATTATCCAAATTGATAGGGGCTTTCAATTTTTTTTTAAGTTGGGATGTGGGTATTATTGGCAGTGGCAGAATTTATTACCCATCCCAAATTACTCTTGAGAAAGTTTTGGGAGCTGCCTTTGTGAATCGGTGCAATTCATGTGGTTTAGGTAGATCCATGTTGCTGTCAGAAAGTGTCAGAGAGCCATAGAGATCCACAGTAGAGAGCAGTGCAACATAGTTTTCCAAGATTGTGCCAGAGAATACAGCTTCAATATAAATAAAGTGTCAATGAAACCTGCCCAATTCTAATTTGGAAACAGAAGTCACTATTTCTATATTATACATTTAATTACCGTATTTTTGGATTTATGATGTTGCACTCTTCTAAGAAATTCAGTTGAAAAGTGAATAAACCTGCAGTGCTAACAAGGCCTGAAGCTTTATTCAAAAGCCCTTTACCTATAACATCCTGGACACAGTTAATCAGCTAATGAGATGTGAAGGTGGGCTGAAACAAAACAAATGTGATAACTGCATGAAAAGTGAAATTGCTACTCAATCTCTGAATGTAATGTATTTAAACAGGTCCAGTGCAACACGGACATCTCTTCCAAGGCAATCAGCTGCTGGTAGATCCAAACTTCTTTGCACCTGTTGTTACCTGGGGACATAGCAAAGCATGCCATGTCAGTTTAGACATAGATTATTATGGAGCACAGAAGCTCAAAGTAAAACCCCACACTGTATTAAAAAATTACAGCTACACACTTGCTCAAAGCAAAAGGGAGATGAAGCTAGCATATTATTATCAGGTTTCAGGGGCTTAATTCTTATTTGGGATTGAAATGTTCTCTGTCTTTAAGCCATGCAAAAAGATAATTAGGAATACAGGCTCCTCTGGGGAAGTGAATGTTCATTTCTAGTATGCACACAATGACAAAGCTGTTGACAACTGAGCAGAAATCCACACTGGACTGACTCAGAGACACTCAGGGTTGGTAATATTGGAAATTGAAAAGAGAAAAAAAGTGAAACAATCATAGCTGCATCACAGACAAGTGGTTCTGAGATTAAGGTTAAGTAATATTGCTTGACATATAACTATGCTGTAATTTATGAGAGCTACTTAATGCTGACATGATAAAAGTGGTGTTCAAAATTGATTATTAACATCCCTTACTTATCCAGTTCCTCCAAAATAAAAAGAAGCCAACAATAAAACAAGTTACTCTATAACAGAGAAGAAGGATGTTGTGTACATATTGAGCTTTGTGCCAACCTTAGTTTCTACCTGACAGCAAGAAATCTGAGTCAACTTTGTTGTAATTTGCATCAAGTTGACGTCACAGCATCTAGATGTTGCTGCTTTTGTACACGTTCATCAGTAAATAGCAGTCACAATCAAGGAATTGATGTTTTCTATCTTCAAATTAAATTTAATGAACGTTATGTTCACATTAAAATCGCTTGCATTTAGTCTAGCTCATTGGTTCACCACGCCAACTTATCTCCTGTACGCAAGCACATTATATTGGCAGGTTTATGCTCTTGATTCATGTCCACAGAGACGTGGATTAACATTGTAAAACCCTCAACAACCATAAACAGAAAGCTCACTTTATTTATCTTTAGCTGATCTACTCCGAATCTTGGTACCAATTCCCGGAAGCCACCTCACCGTGTTACTCAGTTCACCTTACAAAGATAAATGATACAACTTTGTTTTTTTTCGAAGTACAATAACATTACACTACAACATCATTTCAACCATTGCTTAATATAGAGGCACATGATATATGCTCCGCACATGACAGGGGAGCACTGCTTTCAACGTTCATTGCCGCGTTCTTTTTTCAAATTATAGTTTATTCCTGCACATTGATTTGTTTAGTTATCTGCTGAGAGCGACCCTAAATGATGTAAACCGTGTGTAAACCAAGCGTCCCTCCTTGCGGTTTTCCAAAACGAAACAATAGTGAAATTCTCGATTATCATTTGGATTTTGGGAAGACCAAAACCAAACACCTTTTGCAAACTAAAATAAAAATATACATTGGAATTGCAACCCCGCCTTTACATTCCTAATTAGATTGCCACAAAAACTAGAAGATCAATTGTGAAAGGGCAGTCCACCGCCACACATCCAGACTGACTAGACCTTGAAACGTGGCAGCAAGTGTATTTTTCTACTTACTTTGGCCCTCGAATTTCCGTATAATGGTCCCCAAAAAGGTATTTTGCGGCGCAACATGCCCCCTTCGCACAGGCATGTTTGATATGATGTGGTTGCTTTGCCCCGATTGAAAGAGCCTTTGCGATCCGTTCGGTCTATGCTCCTCTTAACAGCCACTCTGCCTCTCTCGGATCGTCCCTTTGTCATAAAAGCATCATCAACAACACAGTCTCTCTCCGCTTGGCAACAGCAGACCTTCCGCGAACATCCAGAACTCAGGGTCCCCCAGCAGACCCGAGCACCAGCGCGGAGAATGACAATGAACAATGCCCCGGTCCACCTTCTCGGAACAAAAGCATCGCAAATTTCCAAAGGATGTGTTTTCCTCAAAGCGCTAGGGTGCTGTTGAACGGAAGATATCAGCAGCTCTGAGAGCCCGGGTGACGCTCCCCTCGGCTCCACACGCAGCTCTGATTACCCGAGCGTGTCTGTACTCAACTGATCGCTGCCCATTCCACTTTATGTTAGAAATCAGGTTCACGAAACAGCACACGGGATTAAAAGGAAAGTCCTGTAGACAGCAAGAAGGGCGGAACATGCCCACTTATCCGATGTTCGCCAAGTCACTACAATTAGTTGTGAAAACAATCACTGCTCGAGAACCGCTGGTGGCTGTCCAAGGTACTGAAACACAACTCTAATTTAATTTGAAATGACGCAAGTGTTTCAGAAAAGTAAAACACAACCCGACACACACACACACAAACAGCCATTATCGAGCACCCTTAATAAACAGGTGCGATTAACAAGTAAACAGAATAAATGTCCTTAGATGCAGGCGTTTCTGAATGTGAAGCTTTATAACACATTAAGTCCCCAATAATAGGAGTGGAATTTTGCTCAGTTAAGAGCAAGAATTTTACAGCGTGATACAGAAATATTTATCCGGATGTTACAAAACTAATTTGATGTCAACCTAATTCCGCTTTTTAGATATATGTGCAAACCAATCTAACGTGAACCCGAATAAACAAAGGTTTTCTCAATTATATTTGAATGGCTTCTTCCATTCAGGCGATGAAAAGAACGGTAAACATTATTCAAAACTATGGAATGGTACTAAGTGCAGGTGACTGCAGATAGAAATGAAACGCCACCAGGGTGAAGAAAATAACTAATCTTGCGCTGTAAAAGGACTATGGTAACTTTAGCTCGCCAAAGACAGAGAAATGGTCTATAGTCACAAACAAATGCGAGTCAAATATTCCTACATTCAACAATTTAAGTTGAATTATCTGTCAGCGAATTCGGAAACCAACCCAGAATTGGATTCAGGATTTTTATGGGATAAAATAAACGTCTTGGCATGACAGTTCTCATATTGCTAACTGGAATGGGCATCATGGTAAATGTGGTATTGGTGTTGGTGATGTGAAACAGAAATTACAAAATAAGCTGAATGATGGAAGCAGAGGTCTGACTAGTGATAAAGTTGGTTTTTATGAGGTGGAATTGATGCAACAAAGGGTTCTGTGTACCAACTTTGAGTGGGAAATTTAGGTGAGACATATGAAGTGATTTCACAGTCCTGCAGTGGAGATTAAAGTCATCAAAGTAAAAATGATAGCAAAGCCAAGTGACAGGAATTAAGTTTTCTCAGTGTGTTTATACGTATTTATGAAGAGGGGGAGAAAGCGGAAGCACCAATCCTATAATTTTTGGCACTGGTGGTCTTATATTAGGGGTCAATGAAAAGCCCATCCTCAGAAGTTAAACGTGTGAAAGGGAGAGGGGAAAGACTTAAAAGTGACCTAAGCGGCAACCTTTTCATGCAGAGGGTGATGCGTCTATGGAATGAGCTGCCTGAGGAAGTTGTGGAGGCTGGTACAATTACAACATTTAATAGATATCTGGATGGTTGTATGAATAGGAAAGGTTTAGAGGGATACGGGCCAAATGCTGGCAAATGGAACTAGATTAATTTAGGATATTTGGTTGGCATGTTGGACTGAAAGGTCTGTTTCTGTGCTGTACAATTTTATAACTCTGTGAGTGGATAAGATCAAATTTCTGCTAGATTTGTCATGTCTGTTTTACATATAACCAGCTACAACTCCCCAACATTTTTTGTTTTAGTTGTTGATAGGATAGGGGGTGTCACTAGGGAAGTGCCAGTATTTATCTACCATTCCTAACTACCATAAAGAAGATGAAGTGATTTGCCTTCTTGCAGTGTTGCATTTCTTGTGGAGTTGGTCATCCCACAGTATTGTTAAGGACAACTTTGAAATTTTGGCCCAGTGCCTGCAAAGAAATAGCCACATGGTTCCAAGTAAGGATATTGTGATTTGGAGGGGAAATTACTGGTAGTATTCTTACTTTGGGCCTATACCATTTATCTTCTATGTGGTATTGAGCATGCATTGGGAGATGCTGTTGAAGGAGTCTGAATAGTGGTGAACACTTAACCAACTAATTAGAGCAGTCAGCTCCATTGATCCCTTTATCTTCAATGATGTCAGTGCACAGTATGAGTCCAATAGCAAAGGCTGCAGTGCTTGCAACCACATTCAGCCAGAAATATTAAAACAATACTCCAATGTGCCTCATTCCTGAGCTCATTACTGAGAAATCTAATACTTCATCCCACTAATCCATGGTATTCTATTTTTTCCCACCTATTCCTCTCCTTCAATATTATTTCTTTAAAGCTACAATAGCTATTGTTGTAACCTCACAGTTGGAAGGTTTCTTTTTCAATGATCCACTGCATATAAATATTTCACCTAAACACTTTCCTCCCTCTATTAATGATAAAATATTAACTGTTGAATCACTGCTCATTTGCAATTGTTTACATACTCTCTCTTTCAAAACACTTAAACATAAGAAGTCTTCCATTCAATTCCATCTTTGCCTTTTTGTGGAAAGATGTCCATTAGTTCAAGTCCCTCTCAAACATCCATTCTAATACTCTATGTAGATCTCACATCCTCTCAATCACAAGATCACCTATATTTACCTTCATAACACCATTTTTTTGAATTGTGCCTCAGATCATTTGCTGTTGAAGTCTTCATCTATGCTATTGTTAGTTTCAAATGAAACTATCTTAATGTTCTCTTAACAAGGCTTCCATCTTTCATAAACTTGAATTCATTCAAAATTCTGTACTTTTTATCCTAACCTGTACTGAGCTCCATTCACCATCACAACTTGCTGACCTTTGCTCCCATTCCATCTATAACACAACAATAGAATTTGAAACCTCACGTTCACGTCCCAGCGTGACCTCCTTTGAAATATCTACAATCCTGAAACCATTCAAGAACATTGCATACTTCCCTGGATTATTTTTCTTTAAACCTCATGATGGGGAAAAGTTAACTTATTTAGCTAAATTGCTGATACTTCAGATTATACTATTGGTATTGTTTCAATTTTGTGGTAATGTTAAATTCTGTCTGGTCACCCTGTCTTTGAAAGTGTAAGGCAATGTCAACCTACCACTAAATAAAATCTGTCAAAGAAACAACTCAGGTTGAAAAATTAGCAAACAATGAGACAAAGGATTTGTTTCTGGGCAGAGCACAATGGCTCAGTGGTTAGCACTGTTGTGTCACAGCGCCAGGGACCTGGGTTCAATTCCGCTCTCGGGTGACTGCCTGTGTGAAGTTTGCATATTCTCCCCGTGTCTGCATGGGTTTCTGCTGGGTGCTCCGGTTTCCTCCTACAGATGTGCAGGTTAGGTGGATTGGTCATGGTAAATTGCCTGTAAATCAGAGGTGCGTAAATTGGGTGGGTTAGGCATGGGAAATGCAACATTACAGGTAAAGGGTAAGGGGATGGGTCTGGGTGGGGTGCTCTTCAGAGCGGCAGTGTGGACTTGTTGCACTGAAAGCGTTGTTTCTACACTGTAGGGATTCTATGATTCTGGTCCATCAAACATGAAACCTTTATGTCACCTTTTGCTCTCATAAAACCCACTTTTTTTGACAAAGCTTCCAAACATACAACACGGAAACAGACTCTTTGGTCCAAATTGTCCATGCTGACCAGATATTCTAAATTAATTTAGTCCCATTTGCCAGTATTTGGCTCATATTCTTCTAATTGCCTCCCATTCATTACTCAGCCAGATGCCATTTAAATGTTGTAATTGTACCAGCCTCCACCATTTCCTCTGGCAGCTCATTCCATACATGCATCACGCTCTGCATGAAAAAGTTGCTCCATAGGTCATTTAAAACCTTTCCTCTCTCACCTTAAACCTATACCCTCTAGTTTTAGACTCCCCTACCTTCAGGAAAAGACATTGACTTTTCACCTTACTCATGCCCCTCATGATTTTATAAACATTTATAATGTTACCCCTCAGCCTCCAATGTTCTAGAGAAAAAAGCCCCAGCCTATTCAACCTCTTCCTATAACTCAAACTCTCTAACCTGGGGACATCCTTGTAAATCTTTTCTGAACCCTTTCCAGTTTCAACAACATCTTTCCTATAGCAGGGAGACCAAAATTGAATGCAGTATTCCAAAAGTAGCCTAACCAATGTCCTGTACAGCTGCAACATGACCTCCCAACTCCTATACTCAATGCTCAGACCAATAAAGGCAAACATGCTAAATGGCTTCTTCACTACCCTGTCTACCTGCTACCCTGCTTTCAAGGAACTATGATCCTGCACTCCAATGTGTCTTTGTTTCGCAACACTCCCTAGGACCCTACCATTAAGTGTATAAGTCCTGCCCTGATTTGTCCTACTAAAAACACAGCACCTCACATTTATTTAAGTTAAACTCTACCCGCCACACTTCGGCCCACCTGCCCATCTGATCAAGGTGTACACTAAGGTTACCTTATTTGCTGTCCACTACACCACCAATTTTGGTGTCATCTGCAAACTTACTAACCATTCCTCCCACAATCACATCAAAATCATTTATATAAATGACAAATACAGTGAACCCAGCACCGATTCTCGCAGCACACTTCTGCTCACAGGCCTCCAATCTGAAAAGCAACCCTCCACCGCTACCCTCTGCCTCTTACCTTTGAGCCAATTTTGTATCCAAATGACTAGCCCTCCATGGA